GCACACATCTGTATTCCTGGCAATTCAGGAGGCTTAGGCAGGAGAATGGCAAGTTCAAGGCCAGCCTGGGCAACCCCCACTTCAAGATAAAAAATAAAAAGGGCTGCAAAGTAGCTCATTCCAGAGTACCAGGTTCATACCAGTGTACTAGTGCCACAAAAAAAAAAAAAAAAAAAAAAAAGTCATCATGGGGCCCTGAGGTTTGTGACATTCAAAGTCCCCACTTCACCCATGCTCAAGCCCCAGTGTCTGTCCTCACAAAGCAGGCTGACTGACGGCCTCCAACTAGATGGTGGCGACCTTGTGGAACAGTCGGTAAGTCCTGCCAACCACAAGTACCCATGGGCAGTACCATGGCCTTGCATTATTTAGAAATGGGAAATGAGGGTTTGATTGATGTTGTTTGAGAGAAACACTGACTGACCTATCCTGAACCTCTGCTAGGCTCTTTCTGCCCATTTGATAGCCCCACAAGGCTCAGCTCTTTATTTCCATTTGGTAAATGGGAAATCTGAGGCTGGGGTCATTAAAGTGTTGGTCCAAAGTTACCCAACTAGGCGGTGATGTCAATGACTTAGGAACAATTTTCTATTTGTCTGTGCAAATATAGTTGCTTGGGTTGCTCTGGATGGGGAAAGCGTCACTCTCTTCCAATGGTATTTCTTCTTCAAAGATTTGTCTGGCAAGCTGAGCACTGTGGCACATGCCTATAATCCCAGAGACTCAGTAGGCTGAGGCAGGAGGATCTCAAGTTCAAAGCTAGCCTCAACAACTTAGTGAGGCCTAAGCAACTCAGCAAGACTCTGTCTCTAAATAAAAATGTAAAAAGGACTGGGAATGTGGCTCAGTGGTTAAGAGGCTCTGGGTACCATCCTTTGTACAAAAAAAAAAATTGTCTGGCAGGTATAAATCTTTCAGAATAAGATTGCCTTGAGGGAAGGTAAATGGTCCTCAGTGGATATCCAGGCCCAAGTCCCCTCTGTAAAGGTTCCTGGCCTTTTCTCCAGTAATAGGGAGCCCACCACCTTGGAGGCTGCTCCTGCTGTTCTGGCTGAGTATGGAGACTTGCCCTCCCTGAGGCTCTATAGAACTGATATATCTGGGGAAGTAAATGTATTCTCCACAGAGCCAGTGACCTCGAACTTGTCTCTCATTTTCTGAAGCCAGTCGCTCTCTCCTCCCAGGGAGATCGAATGTGCTCGTGTGACAGAGCTGTGGTTTCCACTCCAGCCTCTGTAGCCAAACTCCACAGAGTTTCAAATATCCCCAAGGCCTCTGAGGAGGAAGGCGCTGGGCCTGTCCCGGGCAAGGGCTGCAACTCGCCTTCTTTAACCCTGTAGCTGCGCTGCCTTGGACCCTGACAGGGAGGGGCCCAGTCCTGAAGGGACTCTGGAGAGGAGGCCTCGAGGGAGAAGTCTTCTCCAGCTGTCCCAGCCTTCCCTTAGTACGACAGGGTGAGGAGTCCTTTGTGGACATTTAGGCAGAGCCCCATTTTTCTGGTAGAAGCTAAAGTCTGCAATGGCACAGGCAGTCCTGTGACAGGATCATGAGACACTCAGGGCTTCTGATACCAGTTAAGAGCTCCTTCCACTGCCCCCTGCCAAGCCTGGCAAGGGCAGGGCAGGGCCTTCTCTACAGAGGGGGACACAGCCCTGCAGCCTCCTCCAGTCGCACACTGCCTCCAGACAGCGCAGGCGGGCAATTGCTAGAGGCCAGCTGCAGAGGTAGAAACTGGCACTAGGGGTTCACAGACTCAAGACGAGGCAGGGAGAAAACACGTCAGTGTTGCAAGAAGTGGTTCACAGAAGCCTGAGTTCCAAGCCAAGAACAAAACCAGAGTTTCCCAAAACATACTTTATAGCCTGCAGAAGCCCCCCTGCCCAGGCCTGTCTTCAGAGACCAGGTTCCACCCACACTTCTGAGCTGCTGGACCACCACACTGGTCCTGTCATCCGAGGGGGTTTCACAGCAGCCTCATTTTACAGAAGAGAGAACTGAGGCCACCCTTCTCTGAGTAAACCCCTTGTAGTATGGGTCTGGGGGCCAGCATCACAGGCCCTGTCGAGGAGGGCTGGCTACACCTCGGTTACAATTCTGAGCCTGAGTCACAAATACAAACTCCCCTCAAAGGGGGTTACTGGCCTTACTGCCTGGTACCCCCAGAACTTTGTCCTGGACTCTACCCACAGTATAGCAGGGGTACAGACAGCAGAATAGTTACAACTTGTAACAATTTTGTGTGTGTACTTGTTCTTTGGCCCCTAAGATGCCTCAGGACAAAGTTTGTTTTTTTATTAGTTATTGATGGACCTTTATTTGTTTATATGTGGTGCTGAGAATCAAACCCAGTGCCTCACACATGCCAGGCAAGTGCTCTACCACTGAGCCACCACCCCAGCCCCAAGGACAAAGTTTTATAGAAATAAGAAAGGGAGTGTATTTTGGAGACGAGTCTTTCCATCTCTACCCCAACAACCTAATCATTTTAAGTATTTAAAAAATCAAGCAGCTCTGGAAAAAATTAAGCAATGTAACGAAAAAGACAGAAAGGAGAAAGAAGGAAATAAAACCAAACGAAAACTTCCCCCAAATCATGAGAGCACATAGCAAAGAGGGGGATCAGGACATGCTGACATGGCCCTGTTCAGAAGGTATCTTGGGAGTACAGAATCATGTGGGCTCCTTGTCCTACTGCAAAATCCTTTAAGAAAGTGAAGTTCTCAAGGTACAGGGCACAGTACCTCTGTCTATATATTTTTAAATTCTCCTCTTAATGTTTCTGAAAAAAATTAGAAATTGTAAGAACTCAAAGAGTAAATTGCTAACATTCCTACAATAGTACAACAAACATATACAGAGTTCAGTTATTTTTTCTACTTAATAGACCATAGAACTCTATTTAACTCCCAGCTCTGGACAAGTTACTTCCTGCCTCTGTGCCTCAGTTTCCTCATTAGTCATTGATTAAATGAGGATAACAGACACACCACGAAGAATGTGTGAAATAATGAGAAGTGCCCGGGTGCATGAGTTGCTTGTGATGATTGCTCTTATTAATGCTGTTGCCCTGGACAGTGCCTCCCCAGTACCTGGTGAGCCCCAGGGGACTCAGAAGGCTCTCATACCCATTTATCCCATAGTCATCTAGAGGGTATATACTCTGGGCGGCTCTGGGCAGGGTTGCCAGGGGCCCAGAAATAAATCTGACCGGGTCTTGTGTCCTCAGCTCAAGAGCTGCTCTCAGGACATAAGCCAGATATATAACCAGTGAGTGACAACCTTCAGTGACAAGGTGTTGCTGACCACTCAGGTGGGTGCTGTGGTACCCTTGACTCCACAGAGAAGGGGATGGAGCAATTGTCAGGAGACAAGGGGGAGGTGTATAAGGCAGACACATGGGAGGACACTTCAGAGGAAAGACAAATGCAAATGTCCAGAGGCCCTAGAGAGCACGGCCCTTTCATCACTCTGGCTTCGGATGTTGGCAGGAAAACGGGCCTGTAGGAGTGTAGCCCCAAATGACATGTGTGTCGGGGTTAGGGTGCATCCTCACACCAACAGGAATGCTTCCAGCTGCAAGGAACAGAAGACCCTGATGCCACCAGCTTGGCCAATAAACCGTGTACGGCCTCATGCAAAAGGAGGTAAAAGGAGGGCATCAGGGTTGGTTAATTCAGCAACCTAACCACACGTCTCCAAGGACCCGGGCCTATCAGCATGTGCAAAAGTAGAACTTCAACCCAGTGGAGGTCAAGCCTGAGAGGATTGGTCACTATCCGAAGCCCTCGAAGAAGTCCCTGTAGCATGGCTGCCCCAGCACCAGGCCTCTCACTAGGCTTCTTTTACCTCCCCAGTAGTCTCCCCTGGGGCTGGCCCCCTGCAGTGCTAGTTGTGGGAGAGGATAAAAGAACAATGTCACTGTTGTGCCAGCGAGGGAGGCAGGGTGGATGTGGAAGAGGCCATGAGCAGGGCCTGCTAAAATCCCCTGAGTCACTGCTTGACCATGCAGTCCTCGGTTTGCTCAACTATAAAGTGGGACTAACCTCATAGCACCTAGCTCATAGGGATACTTTGTGGATTAAAAAAATAAATAAATAAATAAAAACCCTATGAAGCCCCTAAAATGAGTGGTACAAGTCTGTAATCCCAGCTACTCTGGAGGCTACTCTGGGTTCAACCCCTGGTACGAGGGAGGGGGTTGAACAGTACCTGGCACATGTACATCAGCAACAGTTATCATCCCCATCTTTAACCACCCTTCTCTCCTACAAAACTCTCAGTCTCTATGCTTATTAGGTTCCTTCTTCTCTGGGCCTCAGTTTCCTCATCTCTGAAGCAGGATGGTTGGGCCAAGTGATTCCTGACCCCTGCCCTTTCCAGCTCGGATTCCCCCTGGGGCAGTGACAGTCCTGGACTGCAACCCCCAAGCCTTGCTCAGGCTGGGCCCTCAGCTTGGAATGAAGCCAATCTCTTGGGAACTACCTCAAGTCTATCTCAGAATCTCTTCCCAGTCTCTCCTGTCTAAGCCTTGCTCACATGGCACTTCCACCTGCAGGGAGCTCGCTCTCTCTCTCGCTCTTACTCTCTCTCTCTCCTACCAGGTTGAAAAGTGGTAAGAGGTAAGCTTAAGAATCTCATACACTGTGAGCCTTGGAGCAGGGGCCTGCACACAGCAGCTCACATTGTGCTCACCCCTATAGCAGCGAGTATTTGCAACACTTTCCATGAAATGTCTTTTTCAGCCTAGTTCATGCCCCACCCATAAGGCAGTTACTATTGTTTACATTCTGCAGATGAGGGACCTGAGGCTCAGAAAGGTTGAGGGACTGACCCAAGGTCACACATGAGATGAGTGATGGGAGTCAGAACTGTATCACATGTCTTCCAGGCTCCAGAGAACCTGTTCCCTAAATAGGCACCAAATACCCATCCCTGTATGAGGCAGGAGCCAAGTATGGCCTGCCAGCCCTCAGGCTGGAGCTCTGAAAAGCAGCCATATATATGTTTTAACTTAATAGTTTTTACTCTTTAAAAAAATAGTTCTAGATTTGGAGGTAAATTGAGTTCCAACATGCCTCCTCCACTGCCCCCCCCATGCTTTCCCTGTATTAATATCTTGCATCGTTTGATGTTACAATGAACCAACATTGACATAATATGTGTTAATACATATTACTAATCAAAGTCCATAGTTTACACTAGGGTTCTCTGTCTGGTTCACTTCTATAGGTTTGACAACTGAATGTCATGTATCCAATATTATAGTATCATACAAAACAGTTTCACTGGCCTAAAAAATCCCCTTGGCTACCCCTATACTTCCTTACCTCCCTAGACCCTATTCCTAAGCTTCTGGAAACTTTTTACTGTCTCTATGGTTTTGCCTTTTCTAGATTATATAGTAGGAATCATACAGTGTAGTCTTTCCAGCTGGTTTCTTTCAAGTAGTAAAGAGCCTTTGAGCTTTCTCCATGTCTGCTTGTGGTCTCATAGTTCATTTCTTACTGTTGAATAATATTTCATTGTAAGGCTGTACCACAATTCATGCCTTTACCTACAGAAGGATACCTTGATAATTCCACTTTTTGGTGATCATAGACAAAGGTACTCGATACATGTGTCAGTTTTTGTATGGACAGCAGTGTTCAACGTAACTGGGTAAACATCTAAGAGCATAATTGCTGGATTGTATGCTAAGAGTATGTTTAGCTTTGTAACAAACTGCCAAACTGTCTTCCCCAGTGGCTGGACCATTTTGCATCACTGTAAGCAATGAAGAGAGTTCCTATTGTTCTTGCATCCTTGATAGCATTTGGGATTTTGTGATTTGGATTTTAGCCATTCTAACTAGATGTGTAGGGTGTCTCATTGCTTTAATTAGCAGCTTCTTAGTGACAAATTATGTCCAACATCTTCTCATATGCACGTTGCCATCTGCATTATCTTCATTGGTGAAGTGCGTATTCAGATATCTTGCTTTTGTGTGTGCTTATGTGCAGGGGATCAAACCTAGGGCCTTTAACATGGTAGGCAAGTGCTCTACCACTGAGCTACACCCCAAGAAGTGCCCATTTTTAAAGTTGGGTTGTTTGCTTATTGTTGAGTTTTAAGAAGACTTGAGTACAAGTCCTTTAACAGATGTGTTTTAGCTGGTGTGGCTTGTCTTTTCATTTTCTTAGCAGTGTCTTCTGTGGAACAGATTTTTAATTTTAATGGAGCCCAATTTATCCACTTTCTCCTTTATGGATCATACTTATGTTGTATCTGAAAACTCACTGCCAAACCCAAAGTTTCACAATTTTCTTCTAAGTTATCTTGTGGAACATTAATAGTCTTATGTTTAGGTCTATAATCTATTGTGAGCTATTTTTTTAAAGGTGTAAAAGTCTGTCTAGATTTTTTTTGTTGCATATATATTCCAGTTGTTCCAGCACTGTTTATTGAAAAACTATTTTTTTATCTGTTAAGACAACTGTCAAAAGATATTTGTAAAGGTCTAGTGCTAGCCCCCCTTTTCTGTTCATTGATCTATTTGTCTTTTCTTTCACCAATACCACACTATGTGGATTACTGTTCCATTATGATAGATTTGAAGTTGAGTAGCATCAGTCCTCTGACTGTTCTTTTTTGTAATTTTATTGGCTATTCTGACAAAATCCACAAAGAAACTTGCTGAGTTTTAATTGGGGTTATGTTGAAACTGTAGAACAATCTGAAAAGAAATGACATCTTAACCATGCGGACTATTCCTTCCTATCTGTGAACAAGAAATATCTCCCAATTTCTTTTTATGTGTGTTTTAATTGAAGTTTCTGATTCATTCAAGGCAAAATATTACATTTGCCACTATGGATCCCTCAAAGCAATCACCACTGGGGTCATCGGCACAGCAGCTGGTGCAGTGATGGAAGCAGATATGAGCAGCACCACCAACATGCCAGGGAGCTGGGACAGCCCTAAGCCTTCACTCCTGCAGCCTCCTTCTCAGCCCTTTCTTTGGCCTTCTTTATCATCTCCTCCTTTTCCAGCATTGCCAAAACTGTGGCCACCTGGCTGGTGGGGATGTCAATGTCTTCTTTGTCTATCAGCTCAACCATATTCATGAATTTGTCAATGTTGATCTTGCCATCCTTATTCTTATCAAATGTTGAGGCCAAGTGGATCAGCTTAGTTTCTGGAATGTGCTTGATTTGCTTCAGGGCACTGGCGAGCTCAGTGATACTGACAATTTCTGTCCCTGTGAGTGAGCCCTTTGCTGGCTCTAGCTTGCCAGCCTTCTGGTCTGTCTCCAGCTGCAAGATCAAGCTGTGTATCTGTCCAATCATCTGCTGGACTCTCTTTTTTACCCTCTGGCTGGCTTTAGGTGCTTCCACATGTTTTTTTCCACCAGTCTTCAAAAGTTCCTTCTTGATCTCTAGTAAGTCCTCACTGTGGTCCTGGACATCTTCCTTCAGCAGTTCAAGCTCTTCTTTCTCCTTGGATAGGGACTTCCTCTGCTCCTTCAGTTGAGAACAGGCACTGCTGAGTATGTGGATTTCTTCCTTAGTTATTTCCTCTTCCTTCAACACCTCAACCACAGGGGCAATGAGATGGGACTCTGATGGCAGACTCCTATCTGACACTTCCAGCTGCTGGTCAGCCATTGGCCTCCCAGAGGTGTCTTCTACCACTGCTTGGGACAGCATCTGTAGTTCCTTCTCCCAGTGCTCCTGTTGGATGGCTGCCTCCTCCTGCAGCGTGGCCTCTAGCTTCATCTTGTTGTCCACCTGACTGCCTTTAACATTGGCCACTTGAACCTGGGCTCCCTTCACCACAGTCTCTGGAAGCTTCTGCAGTGTGGATGTGAGCTGGTCAGTAGGAGAGAAGGTGGTTGGGAAATACATAGCTTGAGATAATATAAGTAGTGAAGTGGGGATCTTTTGGTGCAGGTGCAAGTCCAGCCACTGCTTCAGCTGGTCCCTCAGCCGATCTTCTGTGACACCCAGGACAGGCATGCCTCTCTCCCGACAGGCTGATTGCAACTCCGTGACATTCAGGCTGTCTACCCCTTCTTTAGCAATCAGCTCGTCATCAGCCTTTATGGACCTCAGCTGCATGGTAATCTGGAAGCGTAGGAAGCTGTTGGTGCCAATGGCCTGGAGTCCCAGCAGCTTACACAGAGCCATCAGCTGCTGCCGGGGCAGGTTACCCAGGGTCAGCTCATCCTTAAACAACCTGGAAAAACGCACGATTTCCTCATTGCTAGGTCTTTCATTAGTTTCTCTGATCTTCTGGAAAAACTGGGAGAAGTCTTTGGCAGTGCTCCCGGTGGCTGCCTTGTTCCTAGAGGCCATCTCCTCAGCAGTGTCCTGTAGGAACTTGGCCAGCTCCAGCTTGACCCGCAGCTTCTTTTTCAGCTTCTCTTCCTTGATAGATTGTGTCTCAAACGTGGATGGCAACATGTTGGGAAAGAGTTTGAGGGCAATGGGTAGCAGAAACTCCATGAATGGCACTACCACAAAGGCAAGGAGTGGTACAAGGCGGAAGAGGTCAGCGCAGACCCGAACTAACTGCTTATGCTCCCTGCGGCTCAGGGTCTGGCCCTTGAGAATCTTCCAGAGCGTGCGCACAGCGATCTTGGTGTCGATCCAGAGCAGGCGGAAGCCGTGGTAAACGTGCTTCAGCCCGTCTAGGATCCTCTGCTTGAGGCCAGGCTTCACTGCCCGCTCCGCGGTGGTGTTGGACACAGGGCTACCTTCCTCTAGCTTCTTATTCTTGTCCCTGAGGGACTTGGGAGATGTCACTGTGGAGTTACTGCTGAGGGGGTACGACGAGTGCCAGCAGCGCACAGGAAGGTCCCCAGGTCCTATGACAACCAAACGCGGGGCGGATGCCACCGTGTGCAAGCGCTCGGGCCTCAGAGGCCAGCTGTGGAAGCAATGGCCTCTGAAGGAGCGGTACAATGAGTGGACACGAGCGCAGCAGCCAAATGGCGCATCCATGCGGCTGACCAGCCCAACGGTGTTGGTACGGTGTTGGTACGTGGGACCGTCCCCCAGGCCACCGTCCCACGCTGCGGCGACGGGCATGGGGAAGCGGGCGGGTGCCCAGCTGCCAGGGCTCCTCAGAAGAATGGATGCCATGACCCTCCTACTACAGCCTCCTCCTCCAGACTCACGCTTCCTTCGCGTCCCCCCCTGTGGTGCCTGACCCGGGGGACGAGACGGTTGACTGCGACAGTTGGCTTCCAGTGGTGAGCACTCTACTGAAAAATATGGCGCCGGTAGCAGCCACCTCTGGGCAGGGACTTCCGGGGGTGGGGCGGGGCTGGTGGGGCGGGGCGGGGCCCTGTCCAGCTCTGGGCATGCGCGCAAGGCTCTATAAATCTTTGATACCTGTCATCATTTGTCCTTTCCTCACTTAGATCCTGTACATATTTTGTAAGATTTAGACCTCTTTCTTTCCTTCCTTCTTTCCCCTTTTATTTCTAAAACTAGGACCACAGATGGTAAGCCAACCCAGAGTCCACATTATAGGAAAGCATTTAAGGAAGTGAAAGTCCTCAAACCTGGGAAGAGGATATTTGGCTGTCTGAAAACATGCACTCACTGGGTTAGTTTTGCTGTGGGACTTAGGGACTGAAGTCTCCCTCCAGTGCCCTCAAATTTCAGGGTTTACCCTGCAGGAGCAAGATGGAACTGCCGCAAAGATCCTGCATCCTGTAGTCCTGTGACAGGAAGTGGCTCAGGGATCTTCATTGTATCCCACCTCATATTTCTTGAACTTGAAGAGGCACACCGAATCCCCAGGAATCTTGTTAACATGCAGATTCAGATTCAGCCTGGAGTGAGGCCCAAGATTCTGCATTTCTAAGAGTCTCCCAACGATGATTGGTGCTTCTGGCCCAGGAAGTACATTTGGAGAAACCAGACTCTGCCAGACCCTGCATCTCTCTTAGGCCTGACACATTTCTCATCTCTTGCTTTTCCTTTCATTCACCTGCCTGATACCCTCTTATCCCCCAGTTCTGAATGGGCACTCTCTTCTACCTAGTCACCTCAGAGGCTGTACGACAGTCTCTAAAGGACATCTTAAGAAAAGCTACCCAGGGAAAAGCCAGCCAGCCATACAAGCTAGCTAGCTAACACAGGTAACTCTACCAGTTGGTCCCAGCATCTCCCATCCCCTGAGGTCCCAGAGATGTGAGTAGCACTAGTGTCACCTGTGAAAAGGAGAAATGATCTCAGAACCTGAACTAGCAGAACCGATTGAGGACCAAGTTCATGCACGTAAAGTAGGCAGCTGAGTACCTAACACAGTATAAACATGAGTTAAGTTTCCATCTTATTTTGTTGAATTCATAACTAGCAAATGTGGGTTTGAAGTTGACTTAGAGATCATTAAATGCAGTGATCCTCAAACTTGAGTATTGATGAATCGCCCATAGGGCTTATTAAAACACAAACTGTTGGGCCCTACCACAGGGCCCATTTAGTAGGTCTAGAGTGGGAAAAGGAGAATCTGCACTTCTGATAAGTTCCCAGGTGGTGGTACAGGGACCAACTCATTAGGAACCTGAACACCAGAACTGCAGTATTAGGCCAGGTCAGGGCAGGAATTAGGAGACTTATCAGCAGCCTGGGCTCCAAGGACACCGGAGGACCTTGTTCCAGCGCAAGACCCCTCTGCAGGCCTCTCTTTCAGGCCCGCTGCCTCCTGGCTGGCCTGGTGCCCTGGCCCTCGGAAGGCCCCTCCACCCAGCTTTGTTTGCATTCCTGGAGCCTGCGTCAGCCTGGACAGCAGGCTTGTCTACTCGGGCCAGCCTGGCGCAGCCCTCATGGCTGGCTCTGTGCTGCAGGCCTCCTGGGCTAGGCCAAGGTGGACACGCAGGGCTCACTTAGCAGGCCAGTGACTCATGCTTCCTCCTAGATTCCGGGAAATGCTTTCCCGCTGCCACTGCTGTCTTTTTGTTTGGTAAGAAGTCCTCTGCAGACTGCTGTGGCAACTTCAGGCCATGGAGGCAGGGGGAGGAGGAGGCCAAATCCACTCCCAGGAGGACCCACAAGGATTCCCATCCACACTCACGAACACACAGTTTCATGCTGATGCCAGCCCCGGCCGGAGCCCCCAACCCTCCGCGGAGCTTTGGTGCAGGAGAGCCAGGCCCAGAAATGCTTGCTTTTATTAAAAAGGAATGGCCTCACAAAGGCTCGGCTGTAGGAAAGGTTGTAATTTGCCCAAATAAAACTTAATTTGATCCATGAAATAGCTGTGGTTTATTGTGTAATAGATGTGCTATGTGTTTCAATTTAATAGAAGCCAATATAATAGGGGGCCAGCAGGGGCCTCCAGGGGCCCGATTCTTTCCCCACACACAGTAGGGCCACACAGCCCACCCTGATGGCTGGACCCTCCACCAGGACACGATGGAAAAGAGCTGGCTAAAGACCTCTGGCCCAAACCACGGAGGCCTGTGGGAGAGATGGCCCAGGGGCAGAACAAGCTCGAAGGGAAAAAAAGAGGAAAGAAATGAAAACCACCCTTTTTCCAAAGCAAGACTGCGGTGTGTGAGGCTGAGGAGGGGGCCGTGGGGGCTGAGTCACTTTCCTGTCTGCTGCTGGGGTGGGAGGGCCTTTGCCAGGGGCTGTGGGAGAAAAAAGGCTGGGTCTGTCACCCAGAGCATGCTGAGGGGCGTCCCTGAGAGGACCTCTGGGATGGTCCCTGGGGCATCAGGCACTGCCTTGGCCCCAGAGCCTTTGCAAGTAGTGTGTGCCCAGCTCCAGTGCAGGCTGCGCAGGCCAGGGAGGGCGGGAGTCGGGGCCTGGAGATGGTCCAGTCCAGCATCCCCCTGCCCTAGCTGCCCTGGCCCTCTAGATGAAGGCCCCTAGAAGATAAATACACGAGTTCAAATAGGCAGGGAGCAGCTCACTGGCACGCATTCTATATACTGTCGCCACACCCTGGTGCTGGGGCCGGGGTGGTCCAGGCTGCACTTACAGGGCCCCTCAGGAGTGTTGACCACTGCCAGAGACCATGGGGAAAGGGAAGCGGGTATCACTCTAGGCACCTTCTGTGCGTCTCCTCTTAATCCCCATCACAGCCCCATATGGGAGGTACCAGCGAGCCCATTTTCAGATGAGGAAATTGAGGTTGGGGCAAATCCTTATCCAGAATCACAGTCACCCACTGACCTCTGCTGCCTGCATGAGCAGAGACAGAATCCGCCTGGCAGCCCCACCCCATTTCCCCAGTCCCTTCTGGTTCTGGGGCTCTGATCCTGGGATCTGGATTGCCCCTGGTTCATTCCTCTCATTAGGTGCTTTCCTTTAGAAGGCCTTTGTTTAGTCTGGTGTGATGGTGGACAGGCCTCTGGGCCTGTTTTCTCATTTGTAAAATGGTGATAATTCCATATGCCCCACCAAGGCTACCCTGAAGACTAAATGAGATACTATGGGAAAAAATCACACAAACCAACTGGGCGCTGTGGTGCATGCCTGTAATCCCAGCAACTCAGAAAGCTGAGGCAGGAGGATGGCAAGTTCAAGGTCACTCTGGACAAGTTAGCCAGGCCTTGTCTCAAAATTAAAACACAAAGGGTTGGGAATGTAGTTCTATGAGTAGAGCATACTCAGTACCACCAAAACCAAAACCAAACAAACAAAAAAACACCCACATAAACCAGGGCTTAGAATTCAGTAAATACTCAGTAAATTCACCTTTTTAAAACAACCAGAGATCAGGTAAGTTCTGGACATTACTTTGGGAGGCAGAACAACCTGGATTTGAATTTTACATCTGCCGCTTACCAAAGTAGCTGGACAAGTACTTACCTTACCTTTACGAGTCTCAGTTTCCTCATCTGTAAAACTGATGTGCATACTGCTACCTATCTCAGGTATGGGGAAATTAAATGAGGTATTAGAAGGAACACAGCAGGTGCTCAATAAACAGTAATTATTCATTATGATTATCATCTTTAAGCTCCCTTCCACAGCCTAGCATTCCCTCTGTATGCCAGTAAGCCCAGCATGAGGCTCCTCTCAGGCCCTTGCTTGTGCTGTCCCCTCCCTGCCAAGGAGTTCTTTATTTGTGTACTGGGGTTTCTGCATTGAGGTTCAGAAAACCCTGTGTATCCTGATTGCCTCAGAAACAAACCACATATGAATCCAATGCTGAAAGAACAGAACGCAGTTACCCCAGCAGTGTTCTCAGTACATGGTCTTCTCATTTGTTCTTCCAAGGAAATGCCACCTCATTGCCAAACCCACTGTTGGGCTGAGAAGGGCGGGGTTATGGGACATCAAGAAGGGCAGGAGCCTCATAGTCAGGAGGGGGTCCTGCACCCCATCACCTTACAAGGTCTAGCAATAGGTTGTCCTTCTTATGCCCTTCTACCCTCCTAAATGCCTTCTGTGCCCGCTGGACCATGGGGTGACCAGGAAGCCCTGGTAGAAAGCCGTGCTATAGCTGGGTGTAGGGTGCACGCCTATAATTCCCAGCATCTGGGGAGGCTGAGACAGAAGGATCACAAGTTCAAAGCCAGCCTCAGCAATTTAGCAAGGTCCTGTCTGTAAACAAAGTAAATAAATAAATAAATAGGACTGGGATTTTGCTCAGTAGTAAAGTGCCCCTGGGTTCAATCCCTAGTACAAAAAAATAATAAATCAATGAGAGAAAGAATGGTTAATCGAGTTTTAACACTGTAGCCTTTTTGTTGTATTTATTGTGAAAAAATCTGTTTTTTAAATTAATTTGTTCTTTTCAGTCACACATGACAGTAGAGTCTGCTGATGAGGAGTTTCACTGGTCGTGTAGTCATTCACATGTGAGCGTAGGAAAGTTATGTCCGATTCACTCTACTGTAGTCTTTCCTATTCCCATCCCCGCCCTTCCCTCCATTCTCCTTTGTCTGATTCAGGGAACTTCTGTTCTTCCCTCCCACCTCTTATTGGTCTTTTGTTTGTTTTTGTCTGAAACAATTTTATTAAGAAATATCTCAGGAGAGTGGGAGAAAGGATGGAGGAGCAGGGCAGGGGGAGTGTCCCAGGGAGACCAGCCTCTGATGTCTTCTGCAGGTGGGGGCGGAGGAGACTGCCGATGTCTGGGTGGACGTAGAACTGCTCTCAGCTCAAACCCAGGCAGAGGTTAGTTGGCCCATGTTGCTCCTGCAGCTAGCTGTTCAGGGTCCACATGACGATGCCCATGCAAGGTGTCAGGATCCACAGAGCCCAGGTCCTCTGCCTGTGCACTGGTTTAGTCTGGTCACCTCTCTCTTTCGTTGGAGCCAC